AGGAGCAGCCGGGATCTAGTGCCACTCCTCCATCCCTGCCTCAAGCCAGTCTGTGACTCTCTCTCTGACCCTCGACCCCCAGAGCGAGGGCAGAGCTCACTAGTCAAAAGGACAGTGTCCTTCGCACTGCCACACAGGCAGACACCCCTAACAAGTTGGGAGAGTTCCCATGACATCCCAGCCTTCCAACAGACTCAGGACAGGTTCCCATTACCCTCCAAGATGCCGGCTGCAGCTCGGGAGTGTACAAGACAACCTTACTTTCTGACCTGCTGCCTCCTCCTGCCCCTCTGTGTGTGATCCTTTGCTGAGACTGCACACACACTTCACGGAGCATGTGTGTAGTAAGTATAGTAGAGGCAGAGGGCAGGAGCTGGGACGGTGTTCCTAACACGGAGCTTCTGTGTCCCAAGGGAGGTGCACTCCCTCCCAAGAGCATATATTCTGGTCATTCAGCAAGCCCTCCAATCCTTGGTGTTTTAGCCTTTCCTCAGTGGGCCCTGTGTGGTGGTCTCAATCAGGCCCCCCGAGGCAGTTGCTGTCAGCTGGGAGGTGCGTCTGTCCTCGTCCGGCCAGCCCCCGTGAGTCAGCACAATCCTCCTGTGTGGCCGTGGCAGCCTTCCTCCGAAGGTCTTTTCTCAGGAGCCAAGGACAAAGTCCAAACTCTTTGGAGAAAAATGGGGCCTTACCCCAACTACCTAAGAAATTTCATTTGTCAAAATAAAAATGTTAATGAAAAATAATAACTTGTGCCCTTACGTGATTTTCCCCTTACTTTTTGAGCAGTTTTTGCCACAGTGGGAAACTTGTTTCACAAGTCACTTTTTTCCTATTTATAAGAACCCTTTAATATATCTAAAGCTTTCTTTTTTCTGGCTAAGAGCCTTCTCAGATATTTGTATTCTTGTCACCATCTCATGGCTTATCAAAATGGCACTCATTTTGGGGTCTCTGTGGGTCTCATGGGTCTCACAGAGACTCACGGGTCTCTGTGGCTGCTTACGTACATTTAACGAATGTTCAGTGTATAATGGCAAGGATTTACTGAATTTCCCCGCCTTTTTTACTATATGTGTAACCCACTAATCGAGCTTTATAGAATTAACGAATAGCAAGGTTCATGTCATGTGCTGTGTCACGTGCTTCTATATTCATGTTAAAGAACAAACAGGGTAGACGATTCCGAGAGCTCTGGCAGAAATTAACATGGTAAACAACTTATATATGTTGCCTACAAAATAAGTCACACCCTGCCGCTGGTGGTCTTCAGGCAGAATAGAGTTCCTCTAGAGTGGGGTGTGTTAGAAGCATGGTCTCGGCATTCATGGTCTATGTTGGCATCATCTTTTTATTAGAAACCTTTGCCTAGGTAGTCATCCCAGGTAATAAATGTGAACTTTGGGGCAGGTGTTGAAGCTTCATTTCCATTCTCAGTTTCTTTAAACTCTACTCCGAAAGTTCTTCGATATATTTAGCTGTATTATTGGAACACCCAGACTATCTCCTTGCCATACTTCATTTAGGTTGCAGCTTTCTTCAGTAACAACGTGGACTACTTCGTGGCTTCCCTGAGCTACGGGCCGAAGGCAGCGCGTGGCTTCACGAGTCCTCTGTCGGCTGAGTGCATGCTGCAGTACAAGAAGAAGGCTGCTGCCTACGTGGAAGCATTGAAAAAGGTCTGTGAGCGGCTGCTGGTATTTAACTCAGAGGAAGGTCAGGAGTGATTTCAGAGAGTGGCAGCAGGTTTTCGCCAGGTCATAGTGTTTAGGTTTTCTGTAACTTTGGGGTCCAGGTGGCTGGTGGTTGGTGGGCGTGGCTCTGGGTGGAAGCAGAGGTGGCAGAGACTTGCCCAGCCCTGCCTATAAACATCGGTGATGCTGTGAGCCGAGGCAGCCAGA